TCAGCTACCCTATGGCTTTGATATAACTCTATAATAATTGCTAATATTCTTTAAATTCAAAGAATGCCAGTATTGATATAGAAGAAAGTCTCATAGCTTGTTTTAAAAAGCAATATTTCCTGTATTCAATTAATTCGTAATCCTTCCCTATCCTTACCCATGGCAACTCCTTATGATGCAGCACTGTAATGTGTAACATTAGGTGGTAGCTGTGGAATTTCACCAAAAACAATGGTGAATAAATTGACCAAACAAGAGTGACATGGATTGTTCTATTAATTACTTCTAAAAGCCTCCCTCTCAATAGAGATGAAAAACATCATACTTTTGATCAAATTCTTAAAGAATTTAATTTGCCATGTACTTAACATTTGAGGTGAGACTTGTGACTTTTCTATTCTTGTCATGATAGGAAGCCCAGCTTTGTTGGCCTCTTGTGCATGATAAAAGTGCCATTACAGCGGGGACAGAAATGCAGGAGCACTAATGACCATGCATTGTATCATGTATAATATACATACCCCAAAGTTTATAGTTTTTATGTTTAGGGAAGAATAAAAGAATAATCATGGTAAGCAACAGTTTGAGTTCAAACTATGTGCCAGGTGTTGGGCTAAAAACTTTATCTACATTATTTTATTTAATCTTCACACTAGCCTTGTGAAGCTGGTACTATTATTAACTTGGTTTTAACTGATGAGAATAAATGGGGTTCATTCAATACATTGAGGAGTCCAGGTTAGAACCCAGGCCAGGGTGTGATGTCACATGCCTGTAATCCCAGAAGCTCGGGAGAATGAGGCAGTAGAATTGCAAGTTTAAAGCCAGCCTCAGCAATTTAGTGAGGTGCTAAGCAACTTAGCGAGAACTGTCTCAAAATAAAATGTAAAAAGAGGAATGTGGCTCAGTTGTTAAGCACCCCTGGTTCAATTCCTGGCACCAAACAAATAAAAATTAAAATTAAATAAAATAAAAAACCAAAAACAAAACCCAAGCTATATGACTTCAGGACTGACCCTCTAAATCATGGTGCTATAGTATTTTGTAGTTTAAAATAATAGTGTGCTGGCCACTAATATTAGTTGTGCACAGCTACTGTCAGTTTATATGGTGGCTTTGTGCAAATTAGAAAAAGATTCCCTCCACCCAAACAAATGCAGCCCTGCAGCATATAATACAGTTGGCATCTTTGATCAAGGAAATAGGAGCTCCTTCCTATGTGTGACAATAGCACTTGCAGGGCACATGCCTTGAGCAACAGCCTCTGCTCTCCTAGTTACCTCCTAGCTAGACACCTTATTATACTGCACAGACCCTACAACTGTATGAGGGCTTTAAAAGAATTTATACATTTGTGTGCATATGTGTGTGCACGGGTATACACACATACACACACATTTTTATCAGTCAAAGGTCTTGTTTGCAAGCACTCTACTTGGATAATCCTTGCTATCCTCTTAGGATCTAGTCTCCACCCTTCTCCACCCAGTGCCCTGCTTGGGTTTTTATGGCCTCCATCAATGACTCCCTCACCCTTTAATTCATCCAGAGAGAGGCATCAGCCAGAGGTCCAAAGGAAGAAGGAATGTGAGTTCAAGATATTTTGTTCCTGCCTGTCTTCCTACTTCCACAGAGCTTGTCGGTAAGTTCTCTCCTAAGGCCTCAGATTGTCAGGCAGCCCTCTTGTCTGGAGACAGCAAGAATTTCTGGTGGTCACTCTTCTCCTTAGTCCCTGGAGCCTAGATGTGTCCTGCTATTGCTAGTCCTAAGATGCTTCATCATCCCTTGATCACTGCCTAACTCTGCTGCTTTTTCTGTAGATAGTCTCTTAATTACACTGCCCTCAATGTCCCTCTTACAGTGAACCATCTGTTTCCTGCCAGGACCCTGACAGATACACAGCACAAACAAACTTTAACTATTTTTAAGCAAAAATAGAATTTGGGGAAGAAACATTTGGGGTCCCAGAAACAAGGGGAGAAGGGAAGGCAATGGGTGGAAAACAAACAGGGATTAGAGGACAGTTTACAGGCTGAGGAGCAGCAGTGAAAATCATTCAGTGCAAAGAGTCTAGGCCACCTACTGCCACTGCCTCTGAATGCTCAACTGACCCAGATCCATCACCTCCTCAAGTCAGTTTCTAGACAATTTGATTGCCTGTGTTTCCACTATACATCTACTCACAGAGCAAGCTGAGAAGTGGAGAGAGAGGATCAGGCCCCCTTGAGTATGTGCTTGGAAGTAGAAACCAAGACCTCACTCAGTGGGGGACTCTTTGAAAATAAGGGTCAGGGTGCTAATAGGAAACACTTCTCTACCTCTAAAAGGACAAGCACTGCTCTAATAAAAAATGTGAAAATGCCTTAATAATCCAAGCACCTAAATTAGTTGTTTAAAAAAAATGAAGATTCATATGGAGATAGGCGATACTTAATAAGAATTTCAGTAACAGAGAAATACTATTTCTAATAGTTTCATAAATTAAAAAAATCTAAGAAGTTTTTAACTGGGTTAAATTTAAAGTTGCCAGTTTCATCTTCACAAAGTGTTCATGGTGCTACTGTCTAAGAACTTACCATTTAAATTTATTGCTCAATAGCCAACCACGCAAGAATTAGAGGATTCAGAAAATAGTGACTAAGAATCAACTTATCTCTAGAACTTATTTCATCATATCAATTTGTGGCTAGAAATAGGTCCTAACAATTTTTATATCTTTTATTATCTTAAAGATTATTCTTGTCTTTTATCAGAGTTCCTTTATCTTTCAAGATTATGATGTCTACCAGTTCAAGATCTAAGAATTAAATATAATGTTTTATTATGAACTCAAGACAAACAGCTTATTGAAGAAGTTTAAGCATAATACTATTTTATTACATTTGTTGATGGTTATAGTTATAATTCATACAATTACTAAATTTCTTATAAAATTTAGACCATTTACTTTTATGACTCTTTGATCCCATGCTTTATTTCAACTCCAAAATTAACTTAATTCACAAAGACAGAGTTGGTGAATTACAAATTTCAATGTATACTTTACTTGTCACGAATGAAAGCGGTACATATTCATAATTGTCCCCTGGAGGCTTCTTGATACAGTTAGTGTTATAATGCTATGAATAAAGGGAAATTCTTTTCCTTGAAAATAAAATTACATGCAACAATGCCTATAATTTTTAATTGAGAATTTATATTCTGTTAAGCTAGTTGGTTGTATATATATATATTTTTATTTTCAAAATATTTAATTTAATGAGTACATGTGGAATAAACAGAACTATCCAAGTCAACTGGGAAGTGTCAAGAGCTGTCAGTGAGATGATTTTATTTGGCATGGTAGTTGATGAAAAATTGAAAGGAGGAATCTATGATATAATCAGACATTTAAGATTTTTAAAGATGGAACTGTCTCATACACTTCATATGCTTTTTTTTAAGAGAGAATTTTTTTAATATTTATTTTTTATTGGTGGACACAACATCTTTATTTTAGATTTATGTGGTGCTGAGGATCGAATCCAGTGCCCCGCGCACGCCAGGCGAGCGTGCTACCGCTTGAGCCACATCCCCAGCCCCTCATATGTTTCTGTTCTCAGTGACAAGGAAATGGCAAGAACAAAGTAGAAACAGCCCACAGAAAAGGCCTAAAGTTTTCATATGTTTAAGTGTTTATAGTTAAGTTCTCAATGGTCCACTTACTTTCCTCAAATAACATCATCTTATAGTGCATATATGTGTCCTACTACCCCACACACATATAATTCCACATCTAATGTCCTATAATATTTACCAGTTGCCTGGTGGGAACAATAAAGAAAATAGTAGATCCAGTCTTTCCATTCAAGGAGCTGGTAATATCACTACATTTTTTGTCTTCCATCTGAAAAACAGCCAGTTTTCCCTAACACAGTCTTGATCTATTCAAAACTATTGAACAAGTCTTTCTAATTGAATTGGTAGGCTGTGAGCTGATTTAATAATAAATATCTTCACAATCAAATCGGTGGGTCTGAAACAGTGATTAAAGTGGCTTGGTATCCTGGATACCTAGAAATTCATGGCCAAGAAGAGGCTATTAATCCCTTTTGCAGTCTCCTCATACCTCATAGTGCCCCTTTACAGAAGGGGCAGAAGGAAAGAACACCACCCAACCTGTCTGACTGCACGTGCTTCATGTAGATAAATGAAAATGGGGCCACCGTTTTCCTGTGTCAGGGCAATGTCAGCATGAGTAGGAATACCAACTGTCAGGCATGCAAGATCTAGTGAGTTCCTATTCCAGAGCTGCCTTCTCTGCTGGATCAGTTGGCAGTCTGCAGAGAAGCTAACATTCTGAAAGTTCATTTGTTGTTTGCAAGTCAGGGAAAACCACTGGGCATAGAAAAATAGGTTCATCTCTACTTTAGAGGGTAATTTCATGTACATTTGAGAATGATGCTTCTCTAGAATGGAAAATTCCTGGTTTCTGGACAGAAATATATGAAAAATTGTTTGCTAACTCTATTGTAGTTTCCAAATTTTGAGATGTAGAAAAGGACTACATGTTCTGTGATGGCAGGTCTCATCTGCCTTATTCACCCTAGTGTCTCACACACGTAGTGACATTCAGTAAATGTTTCTTGAATATATGAATAATTAAGTGAACAGTAGATTTTGAATGAAGAATTCATCTTGAAGTATTTTCCTACTTCTTTTTTTGTTAAAAGCATAGAAAATAAACAGATGATAGTGATTCTTTTAAATGCAACCAAATTTTGCTTAGGCAACACAAACATGAAAATGTGTGCTTGTAAAACAAAATGAATTAAATGGTGATTATACTGATTTACAATTAAAAAGAAACATACCTAAATGTAGTGGGTTCTTAAATGCTGGTCCAGGGTGTCTTCTTAGGTTCATAGTGAAACAAGAATAATCAGTGCAATGTGTTGTTTATCATAAGGCTGAATTATCAATTTAAAGAACTGCCCTTTATTAAAAATATACTTTTGAGGTTGACATCTTATTTTTTCTTTCATGAAATGATGGGGATGATCTACGATGCTTTTTTTTTTTTTCCTTCCTTTTCTCATTACTGGGGATGTAACATGGAGTTACATGCCTGAACTACATACCTGGCCCTTTTTATTTATTTATTTATTTATTTTTAAATTTTTGAGACAGGGTCTCCCTAAGTTGCCCAGGCTGCTCTTGACTTGCAATCCTCCTGCCTCAGTCTCTCCAGAAGCTGAGATCACAAGAATGTACCACCACACAGCACCCCCTTCATTTTTAATTTTTTTGAGATGCGCAGGGCCTTGGGCATGTGAGGCAAGTATACCACCACCAAGATACATCCCCAATCCCTCCTTATTCTTCTTTAATGTCCTTACTTGCCAAAGTAAAATTATCAACTCTCTCTATTGACTCCTTAGCTTATCTTCTTTGCTTTGTAAAATTCAAATGGAGACTGGCTTTCAGATATAATCCATTTTATATAAGTATATAAATACTTCTTTTAGAAATCTACATATTGAGGGGCTGGGGATGTGGCTCAAGTGGTAGCGCGCTTGCCTGGCATGTGGGCGGGGTCGGGTTCAATCCTGAGCACCACATACACACAAAGATACACAACAAAGATGTTGTGTCCGCCGAAAACTAAAAAATAAATATTAAAATTCTAAAAAAAAAAAAAAGAAATCTACATATTGAGTAAAGGACAATAGTATAACTTTGACCTTAATGCCCCATAATCCTCATCAGAGGTTGAGTGGATGCTCTATGCTGAGCATTGCTCTAAGGGTTTTTAAAATATATTCTCTCATTTAAATTTCACAGTCATCCAAGGAGAAGTTATTCGTATTGTCTCTATTTCACCTTTGAAGAACTCTGTGGACAGTCAGGTGTTTGGCCCAGAAGAAATATAACACAGCTAGTAAAGCAGTAAGGCTGAGATTAAAACCAATGGTTCTATAACATAGATTCTTATATTACAAAGAAATTGAGTTAAATGTCAAGAGGACCAATGAAAAAAACACCATTATGATATTCTAATGATTATGCAAATAAATGTTCGATTAGCATACATATTATAAACTCCCATCCCAGACTTATTATCTTATATACAAGTCAGAGTCCCTCCCAATTTTACATTATCAACCTATTGTTGATGACCTATTTTTAGCTTCAGTATTTACAGATATTGCCTTAAATAACATTCTCCTTAAATTCCTGTTTTGATTAGCAAATACACAGCAGGAAAAAATAAATTCCACGGGGGCATTTTTACCAAAAGGGACTGAAAGCACCATCATAATAATGGTGTTTTTTCATTGGTTTTTCCTGTCACATAGCTGAATTTCTTTATAATATAAAAAGCTTACACATCAGGATTCAGTTAATTTAGGGCAAATTCAACCTGATAGTCACTAATAAAAAGTACCCTTCAGTTTACTTATTAAAGTTTGCTATTAAAAAACATATCAAAAGTCCAGTTTTTAAACGTAGATATTCACCCAAACAACAGCTTCTTACTTAAAATGGGAAAATCAGAGACTTTAGTAGGAACTCACACATTCTCCAGCAGACTTGAAAACCCAAGTATAGCAGCAGTTGCGCAAGCAGGTAAATCGGGAAGTAAAATGCATAATAAATGAAAGTCAAACAAACTGGACATTTTGACTATATGATGATTAAAAAAAATAAAAAATTCTTCCAAATTCACAGCAAACTGAATCCAACAGTTACTTTGGTTTTAAATATCTACCGTGCTCTTGATAATGGTAAAAATGACTTATTTGGCAGGTTATAGATAGATTCTATTTTACATAATTTACCAAATATTGCACTACATTAAGGAAGCTGTCATTTTATTTCAATGGAAACAAAAATCAGAGTTCAATAGTAAGCCCTGGGTTCCTCATAAAATATCAGTGAATCAAGAGGTCCTGGTGCTTCTCCAATTTAAGGAAACTCTGTAGATTAACATCTCCACCCCTCAGACGTGAGAGCTGAGGTGGAATTCTTGTCAAGAATACGAGACACTAATTTCCAACAGTGCAGGTAACTCTTCTTTCGAGTCTCTGGCTTCTGCTCAAGTGCCCATCCCTAGTCCAAGATGCCCTAGAAAAACACAGGAACCAGTTCTAGGACGTAGTGATCCATCTAGCACCCCACGCTCATTGCAGGTCTACCCTCCGCCCGCTGTAGCCCAGCCCAGTCCAGCCAATCCGGCCCACTACACAGTCTTACTCTGGCCCTGCGAACTTCCCCCGCCCACTGTCCACGTGACCAGAATCCCTCAACCACTTCGCGCTCCACCAATCAGCAACCATTTCTGCTCAGAACCGAGTCTTCGACGCTCATCTTTCAAAAAAGCTTTTACTCCTTCTGCCTTCAGCCCCGCCCCTTTCCCTCCTCCCCGCCCCGTCGGCCCCTCCCACTTCCTCTCTTTCCCTCCTGCTCCCCAGTTTCGCCCCACCCAGCCCGGGGCTACGAGCTCGCCCTCTTCTCGCGAGATCTGAGCGTCCCCGCCGCGGCCGCCCGCCTCCCCTCCCGTCCTCCCACCCCCCTCCCCCC